GCAGAGAAACAGTTCACCTCCTAGACCGCTGGTTTATTAGAAGAGGATAAAGCGCAAGGCCACCCGATGGAAGGGCATCAGAGGACGAGGTACTGGGAAGGTGAGGAGCTTCAAGGTCTTCTCCTGGGCCCCGCTGCCCTGCATCTCATGCTCATTAACCCCGTTCTTTAGGCTCCTTCTGGAGTCTTCAGCATAGACATGATTGGTCAAAACATTGGCCATTGGGGATCGAACACAAATACGGTCATGGGGTGAAGTAAAAGTTCCGTCCATTTAATTTTGAAATAGGTTCCTGATCCAAGGGGTGCTGTCCCAAACTGGCCTCGTTTACATAACAAAAGACCTTTCCAACTCTTCATTTAGGCCGCAGTTCCAGAGTGTTAGGAGCTCTGTGCTAGGAACAGGGACAGGATGAAGACCAAATGTATATTTCTTTTATTCCCCCAAATACATGTTTCTTACCATAAATCACAACATCACACCATGTGACTAAGTTCCAGCCGATGTTACGTGCAGAAGTGGAGCGTGCTGGTTCAGATCATGAAACCAGCACACTCTTTTCTCCTTTTACTCTTCCCATGGGTTGAAATGCAGGAGACAGGTGCAGCGTCTGGCACAATAGAGTCAGGGCAGCGCCTAAGGACTGGGGGAGCAGTGAGATGGAGGGGGCCTGGGTTGCTGACACCAAGACTGTTTCATGAGACGAATAAGCTGATTATTAGATTTCAGTCACTGTATTTTGGATTTCAGTAACAATGGCAGAACATGCCCTAACTAATAATCCACCCCATCACCTGTCTTCCTTATTAAAAGAATCCCGTACTTATTCAGCTGTCAACTTAAGGGAAAGCTTACTGTACTCCTACCGCAAAGGAAGGTCCTCATGAATACAGATCAATCAGGTAATGTCATTTCTCTTGTCAGTGATTGGTTTGGGTCTGGACATGATGCAATTCAAAGCCATGGAACTTGCAGAAAGTTCTGTGGAGGATTTCTAAAACTATTTCCAGCTCTAAAAGAGAGATATAATATACAGTACTAGGCATGATGCTCGTCTATCTTCTCACGGATTTTGGTGTATCTGGATGTGATGTCTGGAACTGTGGCAGCCATTTTATATCCAGGAGGAACACTAAACTGTAGATAGCAGAGCAGAAAAATGGAAGGAATCCAGTGGTAGATGGAGCCACTCAATCAGCAAGCCTGAAGCTACTCTGCCTCCACTTCCTGTTTGTCAGGTTGTAACATGACCTCACTGTTTAAATTGGCCAAGTCAGGGCCCTCCCTGGTGGCAGGGCCATAACACTGCAAAGCTGGTCATGGCCACTTCAGTGCGAGTTCACCCTAGAGGTGACCCATATGGCACAGCAGCCCTCTCTCTCCTGAGCCGCCCGCTGCTCCCCTCAGCAGTGTACTTCGTCAATCTGCCTATTCTGCGCCCCGCTCTGTCTCTGATTGGTTTGGGTCTGGACATGATGCAATTCCAGACCCAATTTCATATTTGGGGAGAAATCTCTGCATCTCTGACTTGTACCCCAGTTCTGTATGCATAAATAAATGAATCTTAAAAAAATAAATAAATAAATTAGCTAAGTCAAGGTCTTCATTCTATCGCTAGTAACCAAAAGCATCCTAACCAAATACCATGGTATGTAGGATGGAGAACAGCTCTCAGCTCAACTCACAAAATGTCTCAACTTGAGGCCTACTGAAATCCAAACCTTTGCTCTTTCATTTCTCCAGGATTCCATTTACCAAGGGACTCCTGCACAATTTACCCACCTCCGTTCGCTTTACCTGGCAGTGAACCATTCATCCTCCAGAATCAGCTCAGCAGACATCTTCCCGAGGAGCCTTCTGTGCCAGACCCGGTACAAATGGGCCACCCCGATACAAATGACCCCATCTGCACACCTGGGCTTTCACTGCATGCCATGTTTCAGCCCCGGCGGTGACAGCCCTGTTTTTGTGGTTGGTAAGAGGTAGCCCCGGCACACACTGACCAAGGGCTCCCTTGAACAGAGCTGACTGAGGGTGCACAGGAGGGCAGCTGGCAGAAGCTGGTTTCTCTGTGGGGTAACACCCCTGTGGGCTTACTTTGGTGGATGGAGGACAGGAGAAAGGAAGGAGCCATTGGCTGTATGGCTTGCCCTGTTTCTCCCCAAATGTGACAGAGAAAGAGGCTTTAGGCAGTGCTTTGAAGACTCCTTGGTGGCAGGAAACTACTGATGTTTGCTTAAAAGCTGAGATAACTCAGTAATGCTCTCCCCTCCCTACCCTCTCACTCCGCTCTGCCTCACTCTTGCTTCCTTGGGGCTGCACCCCCATAACACATTCATATGCAAGTTATACCTGTAGATTTTATTTTCTGAGAACTGGGCTCCAAGGCTCCCCTCCTCGTGGGGCCACCTCCTCTGAGACTGAGCTGCAGGGAAGATAAGAACCTGTAGGGAGGGAGGTAGCGGCTGCCAGCACAAGAGCAAGGAGATCTGCATCGCTGCTAGGCACACTGCAGCTTGTGTACCCCAGCATCAAATGGGGAACACCCCATTCTTGGGTAAGCTTCTTGCTGTCCTTGCTTCTTCCTCCCCCTCCTGAGCTGCTGTGGTTTCTAGTTGCCTGCCCCGTGGCTTCTGCTTATTTATGGCTTCTGCTTAATTTTGAGTTCTGCTTCCTCATGGCCTTTGCGTCCCATTCAGACTCCTGGAGAAAGAGGCTCAGGGCACTTGGCCACCATCCAATCCCTGCTGGTCTTGGCACAGCTGGGTGTCAGGCACCCGTATTACTGGCTGATGGGTCCTGTCCCTGGAGTGTGATGGATTGGAGTGTGATGGATCGGAGTGTCTCTGAGGAAGGGAGGACAGCCTGGGGCTGACTTGTGTGTGACAGAAGCTGTGTGATAGTCATGCATAGTAGAGCCACCAGGAGGTTTTTTTTTCTTATTTATTTATTTGTGCATACAGAGATAAAGCGCAAGGCCACCCGATGGAAGGGCATCAGAGG